ATTATTAAAAACTGGATCATTGGATAATGCAATTCAAGACTTTTTATTGGCTTAGCCATTATGGTATATCAGCCAATATACCATAATCTACAAATATGGTAAGCGTACGCGTCAGCTTAAAATCAAAAGGGAGCTAAAAAATCCAGTTTCTTCTTACAAAATAATAATTTCTTGGGGGCGTTTTTAATAAAACAATTATTCCACTCGCGCTTGTTGGATATGAGATGATTATAGCCAACGAGGCGCGTAGCGCCGAGTTGGCTATCTATCATCTCATATCCAACAAGCGCGAGTGGAATAATTGTTAAATATCTTGCATAGGCTTTAAGTTTCAAATTTCAAAAAATTTCTCTAGTCTATTTCACTTTTTGCTATTATAGTTTCTGTTTTTAATGAATATTAATGCAAAATTTTTTTCTCCTTTTGGATGAAAGATTTTTATATAATGATATACAGCCAAAAACTAACGATAAAAGTCCGACGTTTCGGCGACATCTTGGCTCAATTGTTTTAAGGTGCTGAAAAAATTCCATAACAAGTTTGATTGTCTCGTTAATGAGATGTTACTTATTAATTAAACAACTACGACCGTGCTTGAAAGTACAATCAGTCAGACTCAATTCGCGCCAAGGTCTTTGGCTGACCTATGCAAATAAGTGACTCTGGATTCTCAGTTACTCTTGAAATCGAAAGATTAATTTAGTTTTCTTTGACAATGGCGCCAAGATGCCGCCGAAACGTAGGACTTTTTTCGTTAGTTTTTGGCTGTATATGTTTAACGAAATCATTGTTGATTATATAATGATGCATCGTTAATGTAACATGTATCACATCTTAATGTAGTTAAAGTTTTATCACTTTTTTCACACAAGTGTAAGTTCGATCGAGTTTTTATTGACTTGTAGGCGTTTACGTATCTAGATAAAGTATTTGTTTACTCACCTACTATATGGATCCTGGCTTCGGTCGGTCGAAGCTTAAAGTTGAATAAGTCTCTATCCGGTGAATAACGCAGTACGTTTTGCTCTCACTAATCCCTAGGATAGCGTTGTCTGCCCTTTAAACAACTGGGCCCTGGCATGGTGTTTAAAAGCAGTCTTTGTAAATTTTTTTCTTTTAGTCTTACATGTTAGTGACCGGTATCAATGATTTTTAAGGATTACCCTATACATAAGTTGCAGGGGTCGCAATGGCGACCGGTTGTGTATTTTCGTCGTCTTTGCTTTTGCTGACCCGTTTGATCTTTCTGACATCCTCTGGACGACAAAATGATTTTAGTAGTTTTTCCATTGACTCGTTTTATCTGCCTACGAAATCTGGCTCTCCTGTGGTAAATTTTTCGCTGAATTTTCATCACTCCTCTTCGAGGAATCATGTCCGCCATTTTGCCTTTGCTATACGTAGGAAAAGATATCTAAACTTGCGGGTGAGCTACTATGCAAATTCCGACAGCAGTTTCCAGCAAACTCGTCTTTACAAAAGCGGTGACGTTTCTCTCAACCCTGGTCCGATTTCTCATAAATGCTCAATCTGTAGACGAACCGTGGCTCGAAACCATCGAGCTATAAGCTGCGACTCGTGCTCTCTATGGTGCCATATAAACTTTGGAAGTGTAAATCCCCGCCAATATAAACTGATGCACCAAGCCGGTGATATCTGTTGGACTTGTCCTCGCTGCCTTCTATCCACGTTACCTTTTACCGACGTCAGAGAAAATGAGCTTGTAAATCACTTCTCCGCAATAAACTCCACACAGACCACCGAAACTATGGCCCAGCTACTTCATTCTTCTTCAGTCTAGCGCCAGCCTTCCAAAGCCCGCCTCTGGATCAGGAAGGCTTCGTTGCTTACTCACAAATGCTCGATCACTGAAAAACAAATTGCTGGAGTTTCAAGCTGCAGTTTATAGTGCTGACCTGGATATCATCGCCGTGACTGAAACATGGCTAAACTCATGTATTCTTGACCATGAAATCCTTCCCTCGGGTTACCAGCTACACAGGAAAGATAGTCAGGATCGTCAAGGTGGAGGAATTCTGTTTGCATCACGGAATGATTTTGTGGTAGTCAGAAGATACGATCTGGAAACTGACTGTGAGCTAATGTGGAATGAACTGCAAACTGCCTCCGGTCTTAAGCTCCTGTTTGGTGTCTTCTACCGTCCCCCAAATACTGGTATAGAATACATGCTTCTCCTTCAAGAATCTTGCTCCCGTATTAACAACTTGACTTTCAATAAGATTTTCCTCGTTGGAGATTTTAATCTGCCTAACTTTGACTGAATAAATCCGATACCCCTCTCCACTGATCAATTTTACCTGAAGACCTACGAAATCATAAACGACCTATTCCTCACTCAACTAATTACTTCTGCCACTCGTCGTAAAAATATTCTGCACTTGATTTTGACTTCTACGCCTGTCTTAGTTACTGATCTGTCCTTGAGTACGGGTTTCTTACATTCCGACCATCTCAGTATATCCTTCAGTATCTCTATCAAACCTACATGCTTCAGAGCCACGCCAAAAGAAATTTTAAACTTTAAAAAAGCAGACATGGATGAACTGAGGAAAACCCTATCCTACATACCTTGACATGTTGCTATGTTAGATGATGACATAAACATGAACGTAATTAAGTGGGAGGACCTTCTCTGGGCAGCAGTGAATGAATTGGTTCCTCGCAAAATGGTCAGGGACAAGCAGACACCCCCCTGGATAGACTCTGAAGTAAAGGCACTGTGTTGGAAAAAAGGTCAAGGCCAATCGAAGAGCATTGAAATAAAA